CATAGAACTCTCAGCTCCTTCTCCAGCACCATGTCTGCCTGCATGCCACCATGTCCCACCACGATGACGACGGACTAAACCTCTGAAACATTAGGTCAGTCCCAATCAATTGTTTTCCCTTGAAAGAGCTGCCATGGTCATGGTGTCTCTTCACAGCAATAGAAATCCTAACCAAGACACATTACACATTCTTGGTCTGTGGCTTGGAACGTTTACCCTCTCTTGTCATTGTATTGGCTTCTGTAATTGCTATGTTGTTCAAGAATGTTTTCATGTTGTAACAGAAACATGAAATAGTGAAGTGCTTCATTTTCTCCAAACTCTCACCCTGTAGTAATGCAAAGCCATTTCATTTTGCTCTAGTATAGGGTCTATGCTGATAGTTGCCAGTAGACACCTCATTTAGCAAGAGTATGCAACTTTTTCAAAGGAGCAATTGCAATCACTATTTACAAGAATGGTCAGTGTTTGCATCTCTCTCTTCTGTAGGATTATTTTGTCACAACCATCAGATAAATGTTGGTCAAATACCACAGAAGAACTGAGGTCAGGAAGAAGGATATTGCCTAAAGTATGTGACACATTTTATGTTAGAATGTTCCACTATTAAGACATCACCCTCCTGGGTAGGCAGACTCTTCAGGCATACTCTTCATTGTAGAACATCATTTCCACATAAGTTGGAACATCCCTCTATAAACCAGACAGTAATAGATCATGTCAAAGTGAAAGAAACTAAAATATTGTATATACTGTGATCATGTGAGCATGCATATACTGATTATGACATATACAAGGTGAGCAAAGGTGACCCAGACTGACCAGCCGGAACGGAAACACATAAACAAAACATTATCCTCTAGAAGAGTGGTTCTCAACCTGTGGGTCACAACCCCTTTGGCAAACCTCTGTCTCCAAAACTATTTACATTATGATTCATAATAGTATCAAACTTAGAGTTATAAAGTAGCATGGAAATCCTACCAGGACGGTAGGCACATTGGATGTCTTGGCATTCGGCTCTTCCCTTCCTAAAGAGTCTTAGAGAACTGGAAGTGTGGGAGGGCTCCTTCAGAAGTCAATCATTGTTCTACCAGCTCTCTACAGACAAGCGCACCTTTCTTACAGGCAGAGCCACTCTCAAGCGACAGGGTAAAGACAAGGTCTCTCTTCACATTTCTTCTCTGTGCTATTGTTGAGGCACAGAAATGCCGAGAGGCCATCTTGGGTCTCTTCTGCCAAGACCTCTCCAGTAAACTGCATTATCAAGCGCTATAGGCCTAACTCAGTTACACCACTTTCTAGGGACACTATTCTGGAAGGGGCATCATAAAGTTCTTTATGCGGAAACCACAAACATCTACATCAACACGAATCTCGCTTTCCATGCACATTGTTCTGCCTCCCCTCATCCCACAGACACTTTTCCTGTCTTCCTAGAGGACTCCTCAGCCTCAGCAACTGGACCAGATATGTGGTTATATGGGGTTCCACTGTATGCTACAGTATATTTAGGTTTCTCTGGCCCTTCCCCTCTACCGGGTAGGTACCTATAGCTTCTCCATCCCCAAATAATAACCATTAAAAATGTTCCTGCCAAGTGTTTTGTGAGGTGCAAAATTCACTCCACTTAGAACTATCATTCCAGAAAAATCCTCTTTTCAAAGCTCACGCTTACTCAAGTATTTATAACTGAGCTCCAAACCCTTACAGCGCCCTATCAGTCAGCCTCCTTTGTCAGTCAGCCTCCTTTGTCAGGACCCTGATTCATATTTTAATATATTCCATGATTCAAAATATCCTTTCCATGATAGTGACACTATTTTATGACCTGTGAAAAACTGCTGAGTAAATAGCTAAGAGAACTTTCATGAAGACTACACAGAGCCATCATACCATCGCTGTGAGTGCTGCTTTAAGTGGATGCTCAGCTAACAAGACATCTTCGGTATTGACAGTGAAACATGACTCATTCCTTCATTTAAAGGTTTAAGCTTACCCATTCACATAACCTTCCACCCACAATTTGTCCTGCCTGCAAGATGTGTTGAGGGTAAAGGTAGCTCAGAGCTTGTGGGAGTAGCCAACCAGTGTCTGACCCAACTTGAGACTCACACCTGGATGGGGGAGGAAACCCATGCCTGATACTGCCTGGATGGCCAGGAACCTGGATATTCCTGAGACCTATGATGGAACCAAACATGGCTGAGGAAAACAAAAGCCAATGAAATGATTTCTAGTGATGGCCTGTTATACTTGTAGACCAGAGCCTAGCATAATTGTCATCAGAGGCTTCACCCAACAAACGATGGGAGCAGATGCAGAGACCCACAGCCAAACGTTAGGCAAAGTTCAGGGAATCCTGCATAATAGGGGCGGGGTGTAGGATCCAGAGGGACTGAGGACACCAGAAGAACACCAGGAGAACCAGGCCTCAGAGGGGTTCACCGAGACTGAGTTGATGATCAGGGAGGTTGTATAGGTCTGAGCTAGGTCCTCTGCATTTATGCTATGGTATGTAGCTTGCTTTTCTTGTGGGACTCCTAACGGTGGGATCAGGGGCTGTCACTGACTCTTTTGCCTGCTCTTGAGACCCTTTTCATGGGTTGCATCGGCCAGACTTGATATGAGGGTTTATGCCTGGTGTTCCTGTAACTTGTTATGCCTGTCCAGTTGATATCTCTGGGAGGTCTGCTCTTTTCTGAAGGAAAGCAGAGGAAGGAGTGCTGGACCTAGGGGAATGCAAAGAAGGTGTAGGTGGGGGGAAGACTGGGAGGAGATGAGGGAGGGGAAGCTGCAATTGAGATATACTAGAGAGGAATGAAAAAGGGGAGGTTAAACTTAAGTTTTTATAAAATATTTTACAAATTCAAAATGGTTTAAGCAATGTATTCCATAGCTGTATGCCCACCACCCTCTTTGGAAATAAGTTGTTAATCCTGCTATTAAACCCCAGAAAGAACTCTTTCTAAATCCCAGACTAGCCACAGCTGCTGTGCTGGTTTGGTAATGAGACCACATAGTTAGCCTGAAATTCCCTCGGCCAAGCCACAGTGGCCTGTGCAACTATTTCAATAATTCAAGAGTTTGGCTGGTAGCAAATAAATAAATAAATAAATAAAATGCAAAAGGATTCAGAGATATTTAGGAAAACAAATTTAGGTTCAAAGTGATAATTCTGCTGATACTTTGAGAAAACAGATACCACAACTCCGAAGAGCTGTCCAAAATGACTAAAGGTTTCTCTGAGGCACAGACATCATTCCAGCCCTCAGACCATGGCACAGACCCTTGTCTGTGATTCCTGCTGCCCCGAAGTCAAAAGCATCTCAGGTGGAGCTGCATGGGTCACAGAGCCTCTATCCTCTGCACTTTTCTCCTCTTCTTCACAATGTCTTTGACAATAAAGAGGCTTGAGCAGAGTGCTGCAGGCCTGTGGAGCACACATGCCAAGCCAGACTGCTTTACCAGCACAGCTATCTGCTGCAATCGATGGAGAAGGATAAAGTTCACACGCTAATCACACTCCTGTGGGTGAGGAGAAATGGGATGTCACAGAACGATCATTCCAGTAATCAGTCAACCCCGTGTAAAAATTTAAAGGTAAGAAATGCTGTCAAAGGATAACTATGTTTTAAATCTGTTCTTGATAAAAAAAATAATACGATTGCTACAGAATAACATGCATACAATTGCAATATTATCCACCACTGAGTACAAAGCATGAAAAGATCAAACAGTAACGACTCTAATGTCTGCCCTAAAGAAGTGTTTAATAACGACGTAGAGTATGAATGAGGCTCATTCCAACTTCTCGTCTAAGTAAAGGGTGACTTCTTGATAGAATTCTTGATTTTGTCACACAATGTTGAGAAATTGTCACTGTAGAGACTCACTCACCCAAAGGGACCATGGGAGGACAGGCTAGAGGAATAGAAACTGAAAAAAAAAAAAACACAGGCAGTTTCCTATAACCAAAAAGATTATGTAATATTTTACAAATCACACAGGAAGGAAATAAAGCCTCCAGAGGACAGAGAAGAATAAAGACAACTCCGTAATCGAGGCTTAATTATCTAGTCAGTGTATGCCCATTGAACAAATGAAGTACTAGCAGTTAATACTGTTAACCCTGCAGCATAAGGAAACTTTCCCAAGGGAGTAGTGTGGAAAGGAAATAACGTGAACCATTAAGGGAAAGTCCTATAAGCCTGGGTGCTTCTTCTCCCTGTTGCTCTGGTGAATGGGCAGCACCATTGCATCTATGGAGGATAAACACTAGAGGTATACATGAGAGATATCCTGAGCAGAGACGGGGATGGCAAGAGAAAACCTACTTCTGAGTAGGTTTTCCCATATTTTCTTCCTCCATCCTCCACCCGCAGTGGGAACTGGAACATTTCCAGGTCCTTCCTATACTCACTGGAGAGCAGAAGACAGCAAGGCCTGCAGGAGGAAACACTTAGCCTGGCTTTCACTAAAAGATACAAAGAGTGGGAAGCATGACTGAGAAAAGTCCATTGATATAAAAAGCCAGGGCAAGTGACAGATAGGAGGGCTGAGATGAAGCCAAGTGAGCTTAGGCTAAAGTGCCTTGGTTTGCTTTGTTTTGTTGTGAGTACCTGGGGGTCTGTAGGACAGATTTCAAGGAGGCAAGTGTTGCTGTGCTTCGAGAGACAGATGAATGGAGTAAAGCTATAGCAGTTTTATTTTGACATAAACTGTATAATAATCCTCCATAACATCGTCCAGCTATTTTAAGTATCAACATTTCAGTTGGAATGAAACAGCTCAAATAGGACACCCCCAAACTTGGGCACCGTCATCCAGGATGTGACATACACATTCAGCCAACGCCCACTACCACAGTGGCAGGAGAGGTGCAAGCATCCGGGAAGTGAGACAAGGATGCAGCGCTGAATGAGCCCTGTGCCCAGGGATTCACTTGCAGAACTTGCAGTGCTCAGCGATGGTTACACAAGGTTCCGGTTCCTGTGAGGAAAGCATCAGAATCAGCACTAGGGTACAGAGCAAGGATTCTACTGCCATGAAACAGCAACTGCTGGTGACCTTGATGGCTCATTCTTGGGGGTCAGCAGGCAAATAAAGAAGTTGCTCTACTGGCTAATATCTTACACCTGTCTTGGGAAATAGGGACCATGGCACTCATGGGGACTTGTGATGTCTCTGTGTCATTTTTTAGAAAGAGTAGAGAATAGTTTCAGCAAATTTATCCAGACAAGAGCTAAGTGCCCAAATCCTGAAAAGCTGAAAGTCTATGCTGTTCTATTAGCTAAGAAAATTAAATCAGCTGCTAACCTAATATTATGAAATTATAGCCTAGATATGAAGGACAGAGAGGTACATAGTATTGACAGAGGTCTATGGGCCAGTAGCATCATTAGTAGGAATAGCTTGTTTCACTAGATGCAGCGGTCAAACGAAAGATTGGATGCCCAGTGAAGGGGAGTGAGATAAGAACTTGACTATGATATTCATTTACTGCTCTTTCCATCAGATACCCCAGCTTACCCTTAATTTCAGTCACAGCTGTAATGAGTTCTGTCAACCCTCAGGGTCATGTTGCATAGGTACCTGCGCGCCTAACTGCAAGAATCTTTCTATACTCCATGTCAGAGCTTCCCCAAGCCACTAGAGTCTAGTTGACTAGTCTGAACAAAGAAGTACATGAAAGAATGAAAGTTAACAGCCCTGGGGACTTCATACATTTGGCAAAGAGACTTATGGTCACATACTCCAGATCCTACACACTTTTAAGAGGCATTGTGTGATCCTTAGAAATCCCAAGGGAATGGAAACCAAGTTACCCATGGCTGCAATTCTGAGGGACACACTAGTAATTGCTTTCTACTCCTCACTAGTTGATCTCCTCATACTACTGTTTGGATCCATGTAATCATCAGCCACGGGGACCCAGGTTGTTGAGACAGGCTCTGATCAGGGAGAGTGAAAACTGTAATGGTATGTTTGTTTCAAAAAGTATCTTCTATCTTTAGAGACATGTTTTCTCATTTTATTTTAATTTATTTTCCATTTCTTTAGCTATCACCTTCTCTCTTTGGAAATAGCCAGTTATTTCAAAACTTCACTTTTAGTTTAACTCCAAGACGATGACAGTGCAATCTTCTGTGGTCCCCACTTTCTGTGTGTACATGTTATAGCAAACAACGTTAAGATGACGCCAGGAGTCTGGGACATGCTTAGCACTTGCTCAAGAGGATGCAGTTCATATACATGTTTCCTCAAATGGCCTCATGCCCTCCCAGTCCTGTGGTTAGTAGTGTTTGGCAGCATCTGACTGTGAGTTAGACACCGGAGTGCGGTCTACCTCTAGAAAACACCAGACAGTGATTCACAGGCCTTGGATTCCTTTTTACGTTTCTGCTCATATGTGTTGAGCAACGTCTTGTCCTCCCTTGCTCAACTTTTCAACTGTAATGGAGCCAGCCAGCACTTTTTCTGTATCCCAGATTAAAGGGATCATCTTTAACACCACCAAGAGCCTTTAATATCATCAGGAATTGGCCTAATTACATTATACTTTCTTGTGTTTAAAAATCTAAAGTACATCTACTAGTTGTATTTTGATGTGGTTGGGATATGCTTAACTCCAGAGAAAAAGAGAGAACACTTTTGCACTTTTATTTAATAATTGGAATGCATCCTGAGTAATCTGGTTTTTTTTTTTTAAATAAGGGTGAATTTCTTCCAATAAAACTTCATGAATTCAAAGCAAACGTGGAATGGAACTTAGCAGCACATAGCATACATCTCTCACATTAAAGACACATATGAAACCTCAGATTGGGCAACAGGAGATGCAAGCAAAGGATGCACTCAGCTTCAAAGCTTATTTCTTGTAATTTATGGCAAGGGAAGGTATGCATATGAGTGTACATGTTTATGTGTGTGTGTGCATATGAGTCTGTGTACATGTGTGTGTCCTAGATTTGTGGTTTTATGATCTTTAGGAGTAGTCTATACACGGCACACTTTGGTCACATAAAATGAAATCAAGTTGGTACTGTCCTAGAAGTTTCTGTCTTTCTAGTTAGTACAGTGCTGGAAGATGCTCTGCAAGTTGCTTGCGGGAGAGAAGTCTTCAAGATTCTTATCTAAACATGATCCCCATAAGCTAAAGTAGCCACTGGCCTGGAAAGATATGCTCATTGGTGCAATAACTGCATGACCTTTATGAGGAAAACCAACAGTTTTCTGACCACCTTTACCTGAAAGGAGAGATTTTTATATCTGGTACCATAAGCCTGGCCAAGAACATATTCTATATTGCTAATGGCTACAACATCCAACTCCCTCCTAAATATTTGTCTCCATATCTATAAACTAGTGAATCATTTTTCCCCATCAGAAGCTTCCTATAGTAGGTGGGTAGCAGTTAGCATAGAGACCCACAACTAATCAGTGTTCCGAGAACAAGTGACCATGGAGAGTGGTGAACATCTACGTCACTCCTTCCTTCACCAGACTCGAGAAGCATTATAAGAGGAGTTGAAAGGTTTTAAGAGCCAGAAGGCAGGGAGACTTCTGTAACATAATGACTCAGAGACTTGACAAAGCCCTTGCACTCAGAACTGCTGTGGTTGCCTGCAGAAGACCTGCAGAAAATCAAGCCAATCAATACTCCAGCCTGGGTGGATAGGGGGCTCAGGAGGGGCCCTCCTAGCTAGGGAACTATTGGCAGTGTATAGTTGCTGGGGGAAGAAAAGCCAGTTTTCCTCAGGGACGTGGCCTCTTCTGGGTTACTCAAGCTGTAGTAGATGGTGCTATCATTCCTGTGGACACAGGCAAACTAACTGGACTTAGTGAGTTACTTTACACAAAGGATATAAAGTTGAGTGGGGGATGGGGAATGTGGTAAGGAGTCTGGGAGAAGTTGGAGGGGGACAGCTGGAGGAGGGTATGATCAAGATATATTGCGCATATGCACGAAACTGATAAATAAAACTAAGATATTAACAAAACAAGTAATTTTAATAAGGCTTTAATCCTACCTATTTTCCAATTAGAGAGGACATTTACTTCTTCAAATTATGCTTAAAATACTTCAGCCAAGTTTTAGCTTATTCGTTTGTGTTTTATAACCAAGAAACACAACTTGATCAATGGTGAATTTTGTGTGCATCGCTGGGATGTGGCAGAATGGGATGTGAGCTAGATAATGAGTAATTTTTACTGGAGACGTGAGGTAAACACTATAGGTTGTAGGTAGTGGCCTTCCAGAGAACAGCGACCAAGTTCCCAGTGGAAGGAGGAAGTAAAACGCTTGGGAGTGGAGGTGGGAGGGGGGAAAAAGAAAAAGGTTTCTCATTTGTCGGTTTTAGCCAAGTTGGCCTAAAAATGACAAAAGTTCCTTCTTTCAATTCTTCTTAGCCGTCTCAGGCAAGCCTGCTTCTCAAACCTAAGAACAAGTTTAATTAAAAGCAAGAAAGAAAAACGGTATTTTACACCACACACACACACACACACACACACATGCACGCACATGCACACATTCCTGTGTACACACAGAGAGGAGTCTGAGTTCATCCACTCTCTCCATACTTAGTTTTTTCTTTCCTACATAGTATCTTTATTATTTGGAAATTTCACACAATGCACCCTGATAACACTTCCGATTGCTTTCAGGTCCACCCTCCTACTCTTGAGTCGTCCTCAAAAAAGAAAAAAATACACCAAGTCCAATTTTTGTTGTTCATAAACTCATTGGAGTGTGGTCAAACTCCCAGGAGCCAGTCCCTTAAAGATAACTGAGTCCTTCCCCACAGTCCCCAGACAGAAGCCCTCACCTACAGGAAGAGCTACAGTTCAGCATCCCCATCACCACATGAAAGACTCTTTGCAGTGTTTTCCTGTCAGAATGTTTTGAGGGTGGGAGAGGTTGTCACAAAAGCCTTCAATGTCTCTCATTCCCAGCAACTCTGAGCCCGCAGTTAACAACACCACTGCCAAAGAAGCTTCCCTGCTCACAACAGCCAGGGGCAGCATGGATCATGGACTTACACATGGTTTCTGGGAGCAGCACAGACCTCTAACCTCCACAGGGCCTCTGGTGGTAACATAGACACAAGGCCTCCGGCAGCGGCATGGGCCGCAGGCATCACTGTGGCTTGTGGGGGCAGCACAGGCCAGACATACCAGCATGGCCTCCCGGGGCAGAGCCTGCAGGGGCTCCAGGCTGTTGCACACCACTGTGCTGCAGCTGTTCTGCCGTCTTGACCACCTCTCCATCACACATTTATTCACTGAAGTGGCATTGGAGTGTTCCCACAGTGTATATCCCAAACAGCTTTACATGCAAATATTTACCCAAGGAGTCATTGATCTGGTTCGAGGTTTCTGGTTTCTGAAGCACCATAAATTCTGGACTATCCCTGAGACTCAACTGGACACACATTCTGTTATTACCCGGTGATCTTGGACCGGGGAAGAGCTCTAGGCTGCTGCTGCACACCGCTCTGCCCTCAGCGCCTGCTGTTTCACTGGCTCACCATCTATGACCATCATTCTCGTAGCCCAAGGGCAGCACCACAGCCTGTACTCTCCTCGACCAATCAGGGTGATCAGCGGAGCATGCTCCAGCGGTGCTGGCTCCCTGTTGCAGGATGGACCACTGGCCGGAACGTTTCAGCAGGCTGAGGACTGGCCCCATTCAGCAACAGCATACATGTTCTTTGCTGCTAGCAGAGCTCCTGTGCCTGTCGCTAGATTCGCCATTCTCCATGTGCACAGCTGATCCACCATTGTTCCTTCCAATTTCTTGAGACCATTGTTAAAAAGTATCTTCCCATAAGATCTCTCTCTCTCTCTCTCTTTTTTTTTTTTTTTTTAGTTGTTCCAGAGATACTGTGGGTTCTGCAGACTCCTCCTCCTCTGCCACTGGTCTCCCCTTGGAGCCCCTGTGGGTTTTTCAGGCTCCTTGGAGCTGCTCCGTGGTCCTTCGGGTGCTGGCAGCCTGCCCCATCTTGAATCAGATCTCCGGGGAACGTCTTCATATTTAGTTATCTCTAGCTTGAAAAAAATAAGGTTGGTGTTCCTATACTCATCTTTTATAATTGCATGAGGCATCAAGAAATTCAGAAAAAGAAAAATGTTTGTCATTGCCTTCAGGAAGGCAATTTGATACATGAATATAGGATGTGTATGTATGCATGGTGTGTGTGAATATATGGTGTGTGTGGTTGTGTATGTATGTATTCCTTTGTAGGAGTGCAGGTGCATACTTGCCAGAGCACATGTGAACTTTAGAAGACGTCTCTAGTGTCAGTTGTCACTTTCCACCTTGCTTGAGACGAGGTCTCTGTTCTTTGCAGCAGAGTATAGCAGGACAATTGCCCATGAGTTTCTGGGGATTCGCTTGTCTCTGGCTCTCATTTTCCCATAGGAACAATGTGTCCCACTTTTATGTGGATTCTAGAGAATGAAACTCACACTCAAACTTGCACAGCAAATACTTTAGCCACAGAGCCATTTCCTAGCTCCCAGTAATGCATTCATTTTGAGGTCCCCTTTGGAATAAAAATAGAATGCTTCTTAAGGCATTCCTCAAACTGATAAGTATCTATACTATAAGCTAATTTTAGTTATCTCACAAAGAAGAGTGTCTCCTTCTCCATGAGGACAACTCCACAGTGGTCCTATCCTTTCCAATGTCCCTCATGGTGTGAGAGCGCTTTCCCACTTTCTGCATCAGGGACGTCCCAGGATCACCTCGTACCATCCTTCCAGATGCTCTCTTGCCTTCATCCCAGAGGTGTACACCTGTACAACACAGTATGCGCCTGTTGGTCTTAAAGGAAGATATGGGGAAGAGGAATAAAATTCTGGATTTTTCTTCCACTCACATCTGCTCATTGTAGCAGCTTCCTAGGAAGACAGGAACCAAGAGAGCCAGGAGCCCTACAGAAATGCCACTGCAACTTCATTTGTCGTACAAATGCTTTATTGAGTGAATTAGACAATAAATGCATTCATGACAGTCCCCTTAGTATTGTGCTGTCTCCTTACATTCTTAATCCTACCTTTTCATACTTGGTGGCTTAAATTTGAAGATGGTTTCCAGCATCTAGTGGGTGCTCAATACATGTCTGGTCAATCCTATCAATAATTCTGATGGTGAGTTCTAGATAATATATATGGTTTGTCAATGCCTGGCAAAGGGCAGGTGTAAGACAAACCAAAGTAAAACCAGGAGGGATATCTGCAATCTGCTGTCTGAGAAAAGATCTTAGTTTTCACTCATCAGCATTCCCCTCCTTAATCTATAAATAGGCCTTTTAAGAAGAGATATGGAGAAGACATTTTTATTGTGTGTGAATCTTGTTCAGTCTTGGGTTTTGATTAGTTTTAAGATAATTGTTTCTGCAAAGAAGTCCTAGATTGAGATTCCGAGATTGAGTCAGCTAAGGCCTGTGGTTGCTATGAAAACATGATTAACTGTTAAATTAAAGCCATACCACCAGCTGCTGGATTCTGGGCAGAAAGTGTAATATACGGGAGTTACAGTAAAAATATTTAGATGAATCTGTGAATGTCAAAGCAATTACACAGTTTTATAAAAACTAAAAATGTAAGATACTCAAATCAATTTCTAGGCTTGTTTCGAAAAGTGTGTCTACTTTTCACGCAAAGAATGAGTCAAGCTTACCATTATAATGAACTTGCTCAAAAGCAGAGGGACAGAATGGTGCAGGAACTTTCAAGTTCAGCAATACCAAGGCATTTCTAGTTCTGCTCTTTGTGTTGTGCCTTCATATGTATATCATAAGATTTGTTTTTATTATTTTTAAGTGTGTGTGTGTGTGTGTGTGTGTGTGTGAGAGAGAGAGAGAGAGAGAGAGAGAGAGAGAGAGAGAGAGAGAGAGAGACTATGTATGTTTGGGTACTTACATATAGATGAAGTTCTCCATGGAGCCCAGAATAATCAAAGCTCCTGGATCTGGAGGTATATGAAGTTGTGATTCACCCAAAATGAGGTCCTCTGGAAAAGCAGTATACACTCTTTTTCTTTGTGGGGGTGGGGAGGAGTTCAACCTGAAGATCAGAAAGGCAAAATAACCAGCCACTGACTCTTACCTCTCAGTCTGAAATGGCAATCCTGCCTCCAGGAATCTCAGAATGAGACTGTGTGTGAGAGCTGTCTCCTCCTGTCTTAGATTCCTCTCTAGTGCTGGAGTTGAAGATGTGTACTGCCCGATTCTACGGTAAACTAGTGTGGCTACTGGGATTAAAGGTGTGTGTCACCATTGCTGGTCTGCAAGGCTGATCAGTGAAACTCTTTTACTCTCTGAACTTCAGGCAAGCTTTATTTATTAAAATGCAGATGAAATATATACTCTCAACCACTCAACCATCTCCTTAGCCGCATCATGTATGTTTTTAGTTAGACTTTTAATTATACCCTAGGTTTTTATGTATTTGACAAAGACATCTTTTGTGCCCTCTGTATCATTCAAGGAAGGCAGACTGAAACAGTACCTACTCAAACAGTGAGAACTACAAGCAGCAAATACTGCGATCTCATAGTAAGTAGGGATGATAATAGCTGTATCATATATAGTAGGGCTGGAGATGTGACCTGGTAACAGTGGGCTCATCTGTGACATGCAAGTCTCAAAATCTGACCACCAACACTGCCAAGAAATGGGGTAAATAAAGGAAATCAAGAAAAAAGAAAGTGGAAAGCATCAGAATGCCAAGTCTATAAATCTATCAAGAACTATTTATGACTGTAGGTAGGTAGATGTATTACTAACCACTGACTTTTGCTCCTGTTCTAGTTTTTGTGCTTGTGCAATTTATTTTTCTGCAAGTAGAATCTTGATACATTTCAGGCACACAACTAAATTCTCGATGAAAGGCTTGGTGTCTTCTTTTTTATTTGAGATGGGGTTTCTCTGTAGCTTTGGACCTTGCCCTGGAACTCACTCTGTCGACCAGGCTGGCCTAACACTCACAGAGATCCACCTGCTTCTGCCTCCTGAGGGCTGGGATTAAAGGCATGAGCCCCCACTGCCCAACAAGAATCTAAGAAGTTCAAGTGAAAGGGAGAAACAATAAATCAGTAATGATCTCTTAAGGACTTTAATCTGGAACTTTCTGGACACAACTTTATAAGATTTATAACAGGTATCTGTAATATATCTTTATAAGATATATTACAGGTAGAAGAGAATAAGGAGGACAAGATTTTGAGACTTTTTATATAAGTTTTTGGTTAAATGAAAAACTAAACAATCATTGTTATAAACAAGGGTAAAAAGCAAAGATTGCATGTTTTCCACAGCCGATCAGCATGTTACTAAGTCCTGCTACAACTGAAACACTGAATGTCAACTGGATAACTTATTTATACTTCTCCTGAGAAGAGCCTTAAAGAGGTACCCCTAGATGCACGCAACTGATTTCTTGCCCATTTTAAGTACGTCAAGGTTGCTTTTCTGTGCTCTACCAACTGTACAATTAGGTGAGACCCTACATGCTCAGTTACAACCAGGGAGTTTTGTTGCAATCCCTTCTTCTTTCAGAGTTGTGAATTATTATGGATCTGGGGCCACCTTGTGACAGACTGGAAAAATTCCTTGCATGGATCCTTGGATCTCAACTATGGTTTTCTTTCATGGAACGTGTTACCTTGGTGAGAGGGTTCCAATGGGCAAAGCTGACTTCTACCAATACAGAGTGACTTTATTTACCACACAGTCACAATATAACCAGTTTCACACTGACTTGTTTCTGTTCCCAACCTTGGCAACATTACATCCGTACCTTGTATCACGTTCCACTCCCAGTGAGTCTGTGGCATGAAGTTCATGGAATGTCATGTACAGAGAAGGCAACTGAAGTGAAGATGTTGAGGGCATTTTACTAAGTCACACAGATAGCCAGTGGGCTCTGATGAAGGCTCAGACTATTCCACAAGGAGATGGGAATGAATTGTTTTGTATTTGTGCAAAAAGTGCAAGCATTCCATGACAATATTAATAAGTTAATAAATATATATGCTGCTTAATAAAGTTTAACACCTTTAATTTCATTTTGTTAGCAGAGTATTGCTTTATGGCTGCTTTTATGAAATTACTATATAACAGAAAACCACGAGAAACTTGAAAGAAAAATTTGAGCACTACACCATTGTCAATAAACTCAATAGTACAGAGATAATGTCATATTTGTGACACTTCTCTCATACGCCGCTACACCTGCTGTCTTAGTCTTGAGCTATTATACCACTTGTAATATTTATAAATTTATAAGGAACAGGAAGTTCATATGAAACAGGAATGTGCTTCTCCCAAGACACGGAGGCTGCCTCTCAGGGTTGAAAGGTGTTTACTGTTGACTTCAGGCACAGGGTCTATTAATTCAAGCTGCAAACTTATGAGGTGTCTAACATGTAAATAAAATGCCTCCGATGAAATTTGTCTTCCTATCTCTTCACATATTTATGTTCAAATAAGGGAATTTTGCCTGTAATGGCTGCAATTATTGAACCACACACATTAAGAGAAGAGCTTCTTGTATTTTCACTTTTCCTGGTGCAGATGATAACACCAGACTTCCATGGTAAGCAGCCCCTGGGCAGTTTCCCTTTACCCTTATCCCAGCTGGGGAAAAAACTGATGCCAAATATTTGTCCTATTTGCTGATTACTTATTTTCAACAATTATATTTTTCTAATTCAGTTTTCATTTGTTCAGAACTAAAACCTGTATGCTTTAAAAATTTACTGATGGAGTCAGAAATAGTTTCAAATAACAACAAACACAGCTTTTAACCTATTTTCAGAGGCCAAACTGTTCTATTCGATGGAGAAATCTATGGATTTCTTATTGGAAACTTAAATTGCAGATCATATTTCCTTAGAGAAGAACTACTCCTCCAGTCTACACCCATAAAAGTAAGGATTGTGAATTTAGCTAAGTGGTTGAGTGCTTGCTTACAAAGCATGAGGTCCTAGATTCAACTCTCAACTCTGGAAGGGAAAAAAATGGTGATGAAGTTGAGGACATATATCAATGGTCCAGCTCCATGATCTAGCATGTGTGAAACCCTGGGTTGATGTAGGACGCCCTTTTGTATTTGTGTTGCTTTCATTGGTTATTAAAGAAACTACCTTGGCCTAGTTGATAGGGCAGAACTCAGGTAGGCAGGGAAGACAGAACAGAATTCTGGAAGGAAGAAAGCAGAGACAGGCAGATGCCATGGTTCTCCTGCCCTAGATGGACACTGGTTATACTCATGCTGGTAAGCCACAGTCAAGTGGCGATACCCATTAATGGAGATGGGTTAAACAAATATGTGAGAGTTAGCCAATAAGAGGCTAGAAATAATGGGCCAGGCAGTAATTCAATTAATACAATTTCTGTGTGGTTATTTTGGGTATAAGCTAGCCCGGCAGCCAGGACAAACAAGGGGCCCCGTTTCTCCTACTTCACTGGATCTAACATCAACTATTTTAAGTGTGTGGTGGGTAGCAGGGACAAGGACAAAAAGCTTTCATGAAGGAGAAAGTTATTTTGGTTATTGTAAATGGTTATGAATTCAGTCCTCATTATTTCTGCCATCCAATTCTCTTAGGCTATACACTATCTGGAAGAAATAGATAACAGTATGACCATATCGCTAGGCCAAGAATCTACCCCATGTGGCTGTATGACTGCCTTAGTTGGAGGGTGCAATAAACATTAAAGGTAGACAAATCTAGATAAGTAAGTTCTTTGTAAAGTTCATTTGTCAGTAGAAGTCACCACACGGTCAAAATTTTAAACCCTGGTTAACCATAATGGCAATCCCATAAAGCTGTCTTAAATAGCAGTAGGAGGTAGCTGCGGGGACAGCAAACTTTCCAAGGCCTATGGGCCCAAGGTCATCAAAATCTCTGACACAATTGACATCCTGACCAGTCTCGACCTCGTAGTATCTACATTATCCTGCACATGATTTAGCATAGTTTCGTCCAAGAGCCGGGAAGGTGGTATTATAATAAGTGCATGGTATCTAGAACTAGAGCATTTGCATGGTTTTAGTAGTTAGTGCTTGTGTAAATTTAGTAAGTTACTAACATGCTTTGAGCTTTGAATCATTAGGTAATAGGAAAGTGACCTGCTGCACAGCCTTCTTGTAAAGAGATAATAAAAAGTCAACTGCAGGGGTGAGGCCTTGTGAGATTTAACCATCCATGTTAGCGTGTCTACTGGTGTTACCATCTTGAGGATCTTGTTTAGGTGATCAATTTCTCTTTTTAATTTCATGGGTGTAACATCCTTCTCACATATAGAAGACATGATCTCACAACAGACTTCCTGGCCCTTGGGCTCTTAAAACCTTCCAGCCTCCTCTTCCACAATGTTCCCTGAGGCTTGGGTATATAGAAGCTGTGTTACAGATATATCAATTAGGGTTGGGTACCCCAAAGTCAGCTGTTCTCTATGTTTTGGCTTGTGGATTTTTGTGGTGCTCTCTTGTCTGCTGCAAAAAGAAGCTTCCTTAATAAGGGTTAGAGCTACACTTATCTGTGGATTTAAGGGTAGGTTTTTAGAATTCAATTAGGAAATATACTGGTTTCGGAAAATGGCAATCTGGGTTCTCATCTAGGGTCTATAATTTCATCAGCCACAGGAGTTTGGTTAGGCTGACAGGACACACATTAATTACGGCCTATTGAGTGGGCTTTTAGTTTAATTATATAGTGGTTGGGGATCCTCAAGTTGTAAGTGCCATTATTGTGCCCTTGGATATATCTTGCTATGTTTGTCATTATTGTGGTTCATGGGCTTTACAGCTATAAATATACTTCATACAACAAAGAGGAAGAGAAACAAACCACTTTTCTGGTTTCAAATAGTACTTTGCCATAGAAATCATGGACTCCTAAGGTACCTGTCATCTGATCTCAAGAGGATTTCCTCACAGTTTCGGAGCCCTGGACACTTACATTGCCAAAGGCATGTGGATCCAGATACAGGGAAAAGAGCTCTGAGAATGAATACCTGCATCAGGTTGTATGGGCAGGCCAGAGAGCAAGCAGAGTAGCTTCGCTTTTCAGAAGAGCCTGTTCTTCTACTGGCATTAACTTCATGGAATGTCAGACAGCCCAGCTCCCCAGGGTGTGTGTTCTTCAGAAGCTGCCCTTGTTGAATAAGTGCAAACACAACTCTGGAATTTAGAAACAGTCGAGTGGGGGCACAGCAGCCAAGAGTAAACAGATGTCCTTTACCATGTAAAGTTCCCTAGCTCAGCACTTTCTCTTCCTGTTTTTTTTCATCGCAGCATAAGGTAGCACACAGGCAGTCCACATTTGTAGAAGTAGTCATTAAGTACTTTGAAAGTATTTATTTGATCTTTAAAAACAAAATTTACAGTGAGATCCTCTCTAGACCATTTTTACCTCCTAATCAGCTTGAGGTGGAAAAGTAGAAGAATGTGTTATTTTGAGCTGACATGAACAATATTTGACACAATAGAAGTACTGAAAACAGTTGATTTGGGGCTAATTTCATCAAAGGAAAACATCCTGCTAGATGCTCCTTAAATTAGAGCTAATAATTTTGAAAACCCAGGCAAAATGTCTTAATTTTAGGAAATTTTGTTTGGCTGCAAATGGAAAGGGGCTCCTTTTAAGTCAAACCTTGACACCAATCGCCTTTCTCATTGACAATTTTGAGTTCTTCTCTATATAAAAATAACACATAGTTGGGCATGATGGCCCATCCCCCAAGTCCTAGTTGCTCTGGAGACTGAGGTAAAGAGCTCTGTAGCAGCCTGGGCATTGCAGCCAAAGCTTATCTGAGCAAAAAGTACCACTTGCTTTTTTGAGTAACAATTGAGAGCAAATTAATATTTAATCTCCACACGGTGCTTTCCTTTTTAATGGATTTTACAATGTCCTCTGTGATAAGACAATGCTATTTCAGGAAGTAAACTCTGCATTTACTAACAGAGAAGTTACCCTTAGATAAGAAGATAAATGTGTGGGGCTTTGATTCCTTTTAGTATAAGCCATCGAACCCAGGGCCATATGCATGCTAGGGAAGCACCCCCCCACACACACACTGAGCTTTATCCCAAGCCTAAACATTACATTCAGAAAGCATCAGCAGAAACACTGACCAGTCCATAGAAAATTCTTTTATATTTTAAAGTGTCTGATGCTGATAAAGGAAAAAAGAAGGTTAAAAAATAAAACAACTTCATGCTAAGTACATATTGTGACGATCTCAGGATGATTAATGACTCCAGGAATCTTCAGAATGCACAGGACATAGTCTAGGTATTGATCAACAGAGCACTGCGTAAAAACAGGCTGTCTGACTCAATATTAATAGATAAGAATGGCCCCCAGTGGCTCTTTAACCACAAGTCCACATAAGTTATAACATATAGGCTTAGAAATACAACTAAAATATGTGCTTTACAGCACATCTATTTATGGTCTTTAGTGACTAAATGTCTGCACCAATTCAATTCAATTCATTTTCTTTAGATAGGACTTACATAATTTAAAAATTCAATGCCAATCATACTACCTATGAATTTAGTCCAGTAGGTATAGACCTAGGATTGGTGTTAGAGGTTCATGATAACATTTCACCTTCTTTTAAAATCGGGAGGATAAAATAAGTCTTTAGAGTCAAATAAAGTGTTAATTTCCCCTAGCCAAAAAGATACAGTTTTTAGGGTCTACAAAATATTTTCCTAAAACAGAAAAAAAATTGAAATATTAATGCCGTGTAAAGCATAAATATTGAATATAGTGCATGGCCCCCACAAGGGTCTAAGTGTCTAAAGCCAACAGTAGTCCCTTGGCATTACTGCCAGCGTTAGTTGAACACAAATAGAGAGCATGTTCTAATAATTGGGTCTCAAAGCAGATTTCTGTCTGTGAATGACAAGCCAAAGACAGCCCCATTGATCAGAAAGATGTGCCCACCTTTGCACAGAGCTAGACACAGTGAAACCGCCCGGAGAGCAATAGAGCAACACTGCAGGGAAACTGAGTCTCACAGGCTAGCATGCTTGGCTGTGGATAGAGGTCAGAGCTGGAGTGCTGCCAAGGCCTTTTGTATTATCATTGCCATGCTGCTGGGAATGTGCCTTCACCCGTGCATGGAGTTACTGGAAGTTTTACAGAATCCAATACACACCCTGCACCTTGTACCGGCACCTGAGTGAACCTGGACAGAAAACACTCCCTGGTCTCTTAACTAATCTCCACTGTGCTTAAATTTTAACTTGCTATTTTGCAACATATACGACCTTCAATTTGATTATTTTTTATCCATGGTTTTAATTTTAATGATATTTATATTTTAAATAATTATAAATGCATAGAAAATGTTTTAAAATAGTATTAGGAATTCCAGATCAGATTCCACCTAGGTTTCCTAGTATTTCCAAAAACCAAGAAAATTCTACAATTAAAAATAGAACATTGATGGTGGCATAAAAGTACTATTGGACTACATACTTTATTAAAACCATGAGAGTTATCCCCAAAATACCCTTTATATAGGGATATCACACATGTGATGCTCTTGCCACTGAATAGTATCTGAATATCTATCTATTTTCAGGATACATACTTATATATTTAGTTTTTGAGATTATACTATAATGTATCATTTCTTCCTTCCCTTTCCCCTCCAAACTTCCCACATATCTTTCCTGTTATCCCCATTTTTTAACAACAACAAAAATTATTTAAAGAACTTCCCCCTCAAAAAATAGAAAATAAAAGTAACACTTTATGTCATGTAGAAAAAGAACTGTGGAATCTGTTAGTTTTCTTGGCGTGCCATATGAGTTACCATAAGCTTGCTGGCTTAACTATCAGAACTTATTTTCTCACAATTCCAGAGACCATGAATTAGAAATGGGCAGAAGGGTGGTATTAGTTCCTTCCAATCTACAAGTCCCAGACATCCTCGACCCATGTCCACAGGGAGCCTTCTCTCTCTCTAGGCATCCATCCCTCAAGCCTTTCCCTCTTATAGGAGCACAGGTCTGATTAATTATGATTAACACAAATAAACTCTCTTTTTGGTTAAAAGATGACCCCAAATACTTGACTTGTTGAGTCATTGAAGCTGTCCATATCGTATCTAATTCTCTTGGTTGATATTCAGTGTTCTAATTTGCTTCTCAGTTGCTGTGACCAAACATTGACCAAGAACAACTTGGAGAGGTAATTTGTCTTATGGTTATAGCCTGTGGTGGTTTGAATAGGAATGGCCACATAGACTTACGTGTTTGAATGCTTGGCCAATAGGGAATGGCATTATTAAGGAATGTGGCCTTGTTGCAGTAGGTGTGGCCTTATTGGGGGAAGTGTGTCATTATAGAGGTGGGCTTGGAAGTCTTACATGTGTTCAAGCTATGCCTGGTGTAGCACACAGTCTCCTGCTGCTGGTGGATCAAAATGTAGAGCTCTCGGCTCCTTCTCCACCACCAAGTCTGCATGCATGCTGGCATGCTTCCGGCACCATGAAAATAATGGACTAAACCTCTGAAACTGTAAGCCAGTCCCAATGAAATCTTTTCCTTTGTAAGGGTTGCTGTGGCCGTGGTGTCTCTTCACAGCAATAGAAACTCTAAGACACCATCCTCCATCCTTCAACTTTAACCTTGCAAACTCTTGTTGATGAGTCTTTGTCCACATTCTTCTCTCGGTGTGGTACAGGCCAGTGGTTCTCAACTTTCCTAATGCTGGAGCCCTTTAATACAGTTCCTCATATTGTAATGACCCCCAACCATAATATTTTCATTGCTACTTCATAACTGCAATTTTGTTACTGCTATGAATTGTAATTTAAATACCTGTGCTTTCCGATGGTCTTAGGCAACCCCTGTGAAAGGGTTGTTCCACTCGCCAACAGGTTATGACCCACAGGCTGAGAACCACTGTCATAGACCCTTTACTTCTGGGCATGCTATAACTTTTGCAGCCTTCAGTATCCAATCTAGCTCGCTTCTCTACCTAGATAATTTCCAAAAATTCCTTTTTCCCCCTTTCTCCATGTTTCCCCCCATAGAGGCAAAGATAACAAAGTCTGTTCTTCACAGCCTAAGAGGCCCACCTCAGACTACTATCTTGTTCTCATCTGACTACCTGGTGTTTTTCTCTTTGAAACATGAGTTGAATATGCATCCCACTCCTCTAAAATTGTAGAGAACATTCAAGAAAACTTTGCTGAATAATCTTTCATAGTCATTCTGGCTCAGCAGCGGTCAAGAGTTCCTTCTCTTGGCTCAGTTCTAACCTCAGCGTGCCGGGCCCATGACTCACAAATTCCTGCACAAAGCAGTGAATTGACAGAGGTAGGAAGCTCTGTCCACACATGGGATTTCCCGACGAGTTCAGAATCTCCCTCCAAAACCCCTTTCCCCATGCGTTTCCACCACGGATGCTTCCGAAGACAAAGAATAACAGAGATAACAATGAGCAGCTACTCAAAGATAAGTCAGAATATTTCCCAAAGGAACCTGCCCCAAGGATCTGCTAAACAAAGCATGAATTATATTCAGTTCACAAGTTTGGTGAATTCAAACTCAGCATGCAAATTTTTAGGACAGACATTAGTCTGGTTGGGCATGGATTAAAAACACAGATTAAACTGTCTATGACTGGGTCAAAATTCCAGAATAGTGCCAAGAAAATTAAACTATCTCTTGTAGCACAGGCCATCAGAAGGAAGCATTACTTAAAGTCACTGTGGTGACATCATTCTGATTCATCACCCTGACATTCAGCATTGTTACCAGTTACTTGGGTCAGTGCCTAACGTAAACATGAGGATGAACATTTTATATCATTTAAGCAACAATGGTCAATCAAGCGATCAGAACTTCAAGACAATAATAGGTGCATATACCACAAAGAGACTCAACCCGTTCGTAATGAAAGCCTTTGCCAACACCATGGGAGGGGACCTGAAAATGATGCCATGGATTTTTATAAAATATGCTGAAGTCCTACATTTTAGTCAAGCTGGTTAGAACTGCTTTGCTTCTCTCCCACTGCCACTTCCTTTCTTGTCTCTCTTGGTGTTGTGTGATGCTGGTGTAGCTGTAAAAACACTTTTCACTCTGGCAAAGGGGGAAGTTGAGTGTAGTCAACTTTAGCATAAGTTTAGGGCTATTTATTGGTTGGCAGTCACCTTCTGGGTGGTTCTGTTGAATTAGCCATCCTAGTGGGAATACCTTTTATAAATACCAGTGTCTTCACTATACATATTTTCTCAGTTTCTTGATGCAGAAAGTCAGAAGTGTCTGAGACATCTACGCCAGCCTGGCACAGCCATGGAAAAACAGGGTTGAAGTGCATAAAGTTAGAAGACAGTCTAGGTAAGGTTCCTCCCATTAGCAGGGTACAGAGTTACAGGAGAGAGTTAAGCCTACTTCAGTCCTAAGCAAAAGAAATCATCACACAATTATGTTCCATATAATCAATGTGTTCAAGTCTCAGTTTCCATGAGTGTTTTTCTGTATTGATTTGAGCATGTTACATAGAATCCATCAGAATATCAGTGTTTGCAGAACATATACCTGCAAGACAGAAAGCTCTGTTTGGGAAGTTATGCTCGAGTGTCTTCTCTGATGCTGTAATAAAACACTGACCAAAAGCAACTTAGGAGAGGAAAGTGTTCATTTCACCTTACAAGTGGTATAGGCCATTGCTGAGAGGAGTCGGGGCAGGGACTCGAGCAGAAAGTTGAAGCAGAAGTGGTGGAAGAGCTCTACTTGATAGCTCAATCCAAGATACATTCTTAGCTAGCCTTTTTTATGTAGCCTAGGACTAGCTGCCCAGCATAGTGCTATTTCCAGGGGCCTGGGCCCTTTGAGATAACATCAAGTTGACAGGTAAAACTCACTCGAACAAGCTGCAAGCTTCATGCATCTACTTATCATAGCTAATGTTTCACCAGTAAAATATAACTTAATAATTTAAATTCACACCATTATTTCATAAAAGAATTTCTTACAAACTGCAGGTTAATAAAGACTAAAGAGGAGATGAAAGACTTTGGAATGTTGTGCTGTCTGAAATAAAAGGAAGATATTCTCACAGCTGGTGGATTCCTATTTCCATCAAGACAGGGCACATCACACATCTATAGAGAGAGAGCTCTACTAGCCAGACCAACTACTATGCAAGGATATGGACATCAAAGCTAGGAAAATTCAGATTTGAATTGATAGCTGTCATGGGAAGCATGGATCATTATAATAACTGGAAGACAGGAGAAGGCTGATTATAATATATATTTTTATATTAGTATGTTGAGCTTTGACAACAGAGATTCTTAATTCCTCTAAACTTATAACTATGAGAGCTATTTTTCAAACAATAAAAGTTAAGTAGATATCATAAAATATTAAATGTTGTTCTTCCTATTTTTTGAATGGAAAATTACCTTAAATTGCTTTTATATGAAGCAGAAGAAATTAAGAATATGTAACCAAATCTGTACAGCCATTTTAAATTTGAACATCAGTTTTCTAATAAGATAAAATAATTCCCGATATAAACAGGCATCGGAGGTCATATCATGGACGTTATCTCCTAGTCATCGTTGGTTCTAAGGTAGAACACTCATACACAGGGATAAGTGCTGTTCTTGCTCACAGTTGAGCCTTGTTTTCCACTTCTAGGTCATGGTTAGCCAAAATGTAGACTCAATTAATAACAGTTATAATTTAAGTGTGGCAAAATTGTTATATTTTCACATTAAAGTATTATGCTTTTTTATAACCCTTAGATCTCTTTGAAGTGCTATTGAACCATGAATGGGATTTCTATTGTGGTCTAGCTTACATTAAAAAGCATTGAGGTAACTTAAAAGTAGTTTTATAAGAGATGAGAGCTGAAGAAAGATCTGGAACAGTCTCCCATGACCTCCTCTCCTTACTCCTGTGGCCTTCTATTGTTCCAGGGTTGGGGCACTCAGTGAGAACATCTAGTGGGCAGTGGGCAGCCGAATACACTAGTGCCTCTCTCTGTCACCTGTGATACAGAACAACCTCTCAGAACCACAGTTGCCCCATCCACGCAATACTAAAGCCCTCCCTTGTGAGGTTGGTGTGAGAGTCAAATGAATTCGTGTCCAGAAAAGGCCATGACGGTAGCTGTGCCGAGTGTGTTTTACTTTGCACCCTCTTCGCAGCTTTGCCGAATAAGTCATCTTTATCAGTCCTCTTTTGCAACCTGAAGACCCACATGATGAGAGAGTATTAATAATTTCCCAGATTGTAAATAGATAGAGTTTTCATAATCATCATAATAAAAATAGTTAGAAATTTTCACAGTTTCTGGTAAAGCAGATGCCACAGCCCACCTGAGGTCACACTTCTCAGTCATCTGCAGGCTGTAGGTGCCCGTTATCCATTCCCAGCCCTAAGGTCACCTGCACAGTGGTACAGGGAGGCAGGAAGCAATTCGTTTAGAAAAACACAGTGTGCCAAGCCCATGCAGTATTACTTGAGCTTAGAACATTTCAACAGATGAGCTTAAGGCAACATTTAAAATGACAGGAGGAAGTGGGTTTGTGCCAAGTTCCCTCCTTCTCACACAGGTCTAGATCCAGTTCTGGTGACTCACCTGCCTACCTCCAGCCGCCTTTTGTATCTAGAGTTCTGGAAAACGTTAGACATAAACTGAAGAAACCACTATAGAATGAACTACTCTGAAATCAAAATGTCCCTGAAAGCGGATCATTTGTCTACCAAGTATATTAGCCTGCTTTCTGTTTCTTAATGAAATGGCCAAGGCTAGACACTTAGTAAAGAAAAGCCCAAACCTCATTGTACTGCCTAAGGGTGCTCCCAGGCTCATTGCCTAATGGAGAATGACACCATGGCAGATAGGTACGTAAGAGAGGGTTTACAGGGTGAGACAAGACACCAAGAGACAGGCCCCGTGGGAATTATATTAACCCTCTGAGGACAAAGCCACAATGACCTAAAACCTTTCCCCCAGTTCCCACCTCTGAAAAGATCTTACCTCTTTTCAACAGTAGCACATGGGTGGGTGGAGAATAAAACTTTCCAATATGAGTTTCTGGGAGACTCCTTCCACCTAGATCCAAACCACAGCTTCATGTTTGTAGAAAAACCAGTAGTCCGATACTTTCAGGACAAAGGTATGGAAAGTCAAGGTTGTAATTATACCCAGAAAAGTAGTTATGAAGTATTGTCTCCCTTGTTCTTACATTCTGCCGTCCACTGAAACGGGTCATCTTCAAAATTAAAAATAAAAACAACAAAGGACACGTCTAATGAAGGAAAGCTGAACTTACTACATTTACGCAATGAGAAGACTTTGACAGAGCTTTGTGTCTGGATGGATGACAGGAGCTGAACTCAAAAGGCTTCAAACCTGTCAAGGCAGGAACTAACCGGAACTGGACATAGCGCTGACATGATACCTAGGTTCGATGGACAACAGAAAAGAGGGCCTCGACAGGAAGACCGGCAGTCTGGCTTTTGCCTGACATAGGAGGCGTTAAACCAGAAGGGCGAACTGGATGGTGAGATTAAACCCATTTACAAGAATTTCCTGAGGCCAGCAGCAAAGGTCTTCCCTGAAGTACCACTGTTTCGTCGTAAGACTTTTCCTGAAACAAAATGTTGCCACGCTGACATAGACAGACAGTACCGCTTTCAGAAGTCTCCATGAAGTGGGGAATTTGTCCATAGGTTTTGTGCCCAGAACAGTGTGTGCACACGATTCACATGGCATAGTGTGTCAAAGTCTGGGACAGATTTGTAGGCATCTCTGGATCACCCCGTGGGTACAGCAGGCACAGGTTGGTAATTGGAATGGTCATTCTCTTCTTCCATCCAGTTCTAAGTCACACATTTCCTGTTCTCTTTAAACTATCTGCAAACACTCACTGTGTTGCTGGGGCACACAACCTTCTTCTGTTGCTCAGAAGAAAGTGTATTCTGTGGTTGGGAGTGACTCAAAGAACTGGCCACCAAGAATCCTCAGTTGCTGTCCATTAATTATTATTTGTAAGTGAACGTCACATTTCTCTAGCCCTAAGACATGTAGGAAGAGATGTTTATATCATTAATGACACGCCAGAAGAAATCCCTTGTCCTCCAGCATTTCCTCCTACAGCAGTGATTCTCAACCTTGGTGACCCCAAACCATAAAATTATTTTCATTGCTACTTCATAACTGCACGTTTGCTACTGTTATGAATTGTAATGTTACTGTCTGTGGTTCCCCGTGGTCTTAGGTGACCCCTATGAAAGGATCATTCTGTTGGACTTTCAAAGGGGATGTGACCCCCAGGCAGAGAATTACTATCCTAGATCCTAGCATCTTGGTTTAAATAGAAAAGAAAAATTGGCTCTCTTTTCTGTTGTTCTTCTGAAGAGAAAAGCAGGCATTTTCCTCTCTCTACCTCTCTCTGTCTCTGTCTCCCCCTTAACTCCTCTCTGCCTTCCTCTCAATAAACTCCACACTCAAATAAAAAAAAAAAAAGAGAGAGAGATAAAAGAAAAGAGAAATTGTTTTCCAGGATGCATTTTATGAGAACAAACACCTAAGCATCTTTGGTGTGTGACAGTTGCCTCAATGGCAAAGTCAGAAAAAAAAATCAATTAATGAAAAAAAGGAAAGAGCTAAAGGCCCTCAATAGAGAACCATGGGGAAGAGGACAGAACTTGCATTGTGAGGAGCTACGGACATGAGTGCACTACCAGGCCAGCTCTCAAAAAATTATTAAAAAATTAAACAAAAGCGCAGATGTGAACCATTTGCATATTTTGTGGTTTAAATGCTTCTACTCTGACTAAACTTTTGCTACCAGCATTTGATAAGGGCTGCGAAATTTTCCACAATTTAGCAATCAGCTCTGGCACAAGTGAGCTGGCCAGAGCAGAGAAACGGCAGCAGCAGATGCCAAGAAGTGCTTCCTGGCCAAGAACTAAGTCCGCAGTACCCCTGGGATCATGACTCTCTCCTTGGTTACCAAATGCCTGTTTTTCTTAGCATTGTCTTTTTAAAGGCCCCGTCACTACACTTTACTTTAGAGAGTTGATAACCATACCCTGTGATTCAAGAATGGTTTTCCCAGTGAGAGATCGAATCAAGTGAAGTGGATCACTCCTGTGACAGTCATCTCTGTCCCCAAGGTACTTTTCCTTCATGAACCCCAGTCACTTCTTGGAAGTTAGCATTTCTGTGCAGTGAGTATCATCTAAAAGGGACACTGAAAGCTACACTCTAAAATAAGCTAGTAGCATCCAAATGTTAGACCTACACACACACACACACACACACACACACACACACACACGAGAAAATGTTTGTCATTAGCCACTAAGAAGTAGTCCTCCAGAATTATTTTTCCTGTTTCATCTGCATAAAGTGATCATAGACCCGACGTTAGGAACGAGGAAAATGGCATGACCCTTTGCTGCCATCCTGTTGACCTCCGCATGCCGGATCAGGCTGTTTCCCCTCTCTGTAGCTCCTCTTCCCTGCCTGAACAACAACCGAGCTTACCTGAAGGTAATTAATTACGTTCAGCAACATCTGTGCTGTGACTGAGCAAACTTGAATTTTGAGAGGAAATTTTCTTTGGCAATATTTCAGTGTGTTGAGTCATGAGCCTGACAAGTAACTACAACCCATGAAGCAGCATTTCCACGGGGAGAAGCCTGCGAGAAGGAAGTGCGACTGAGTTAGTTTGGTGTGTGGTGCGCTCTGCGCTTCCACACCCCAGCCCACAGCCTCCTTATACAAGTTTCCTCTCTACTCAGTTCAAGCCCAGTTTCCAGGATTCCAATGCAAAGATCAGACTTTCCAGATGACATGCCAAGACTCATGATCAGGAGTACCTGGATTTCAACTTTCTCCGGTGATGCGAAAGTGTCCTCTCAGGAAATAACAACAGCCCGTGGCAGTGAGTCCATGAGCAGTAAGCAACTTCTTTCATGATTGATAACAGCAAGTTGGGAAACCAATTTCCAGTCACTGACATTCCCATCTCTTCAGGCAGGAGAGCTGGCTCCGGGTGTCACGAGAGTTTGAGAGCCAGCGACACATGGGAGAAATGACCCTGCACCTGCCTGGGCAGCACACTAGAGGTGACCCTGTTGGCAGGGGTGCAAGTGAGCCTGCCCTGAGAGCATGAGAACAGGAGAGATAACCCCGCCTCCTTTATCTGCCACGTGGTGGCCTGGGTGAGGGCTAGATCCCCCCCCACAACCCTTGCCATCTGCCGCAGCAGGAGAGCTGGCCTTGGCAACATGAGAGAGGGCAAGCTGGCCCTGAACCTTGCATGGGCAAAACAGTAGAGCCGGCCCTGGTGGTGTGGATGCCAGTGAGCCAACCCCTAGAGTGTGAGAACGGGAGAACTGGCCCTGCTCCTTGTCTGATGAATGAGGGGGCCAGGGCAGTGCAGGAGAGCTCACCCTGGTGGTGAACTGCTGAAGCATGTAAGGGGAGAAGGCCTGTAGCTCTGAAACTACAGGATCTCTAGGACACAAGGCAACAACAGAATATCAAGAGGAGACCCAGTGAGGGCCCACTATCAAGGGTGAAGCAGAATCAGAGGCCACAAACCAGATGAATGACTCATTGCAACGCGCACTTACAAATGAAGATGCATGGACCAAAGCAGACACTGTGGAGCTCACTGGGTCGCGCTGCGGCTTCCACACCAAGACTTGTTCTGCTTTTCTTTTCTATTCTATTTTGTTTTGTTTTGGGGCGGGGGTGGAAGGTTGCAATGTCAGAGGGCAGATATGAAGGGACAGGAAAATGAATGGGATCAGGATGCATGATGTGAAATCCACAAAGAATCAGTAATAAAAGTTTTACACAATTCCCATCTCTTAGGATATAAACCATGATAAGTAGTTATGAAAGAGACTTGCTTAATGCCAGACAAACTAACTGTCTTAAAGCAAATGAGAAACAGGGTGTATTATGTTCTTAAACTACAAAAACACATACACATATACATGCAGGCAGACATGCATACATTGAAAATAAAAAAATAATACTGGCCTCTCTTTAATTCTGTGTATGGTTTTCTCATCTAGAGTCTTTTTTTTGTTTTGTTTTGTTTTGTTTTGTTTTTTTTCGAGACAGGGTTTCTCTGTGGCTTTGGAGCCTGTCCTGGAACCAGCTCTGTAGACCAGGCTGGTCTCGAACTCACAGAGATCCGCCTGTCTCTGCCTCCCGAGTGCTGGGATTAAAGGCATGCGCCACCATCGCCCGGCCTCATCTAGAGTCTTAAGCATTAAATATGCTATATCTCTAATCCATTTCAAAATAGATGAGAATTCGCTCAATTTATAATTGAGAAAGCTCATACAACAGAGGAAATCTGCTTGATTCCCAACCTCTTGTTGTTTTATACTGCTCGTACAGGCAACTGGCATGTAAACAATTGCTTCTCTGACCTACCAGCAAGAGATCGTAGTCTCGGAGAACAGGGGTTTGCCTAAGGGTCGAGGAATAGCTAGAACTGCAGCAAAAGGAAAGTTTACTGAAGCGTGAACGGCTGTTGCACTATTAGAGAATATTCCATCGTCCCGTGTGCATGGATTGCACACAAGAACTGGGACAGAGTCACATGACAAAGAATAGACAATACTTCAGACGGAGTTTTGCTCCTGATGAGATTCCCCTTTATTCTTTACTATAAGAAGTATTCTGTTAAAGTACAAATTTGGTACTATCACTCTCTCGCCTATGTGCAAACATTCAAAGTGGTGCACACTCTACTGCGCAAACTGTAGGACCTAAATCTCTTAATGGGGCATAAGCATTGCTCTCCTAACCTGTAAATTGGTATATATTGAGTCTCTGCAATAAATTGAAATGTTACTATAAGAAACGGTTACGGTATTTCATTGACACACAACTTGAGCCCTGTCAGGGATATAAAAACATGCAAAAAGGATGTGGCTTTACCAGGTGATGCTGATAGTACTGGAAGTTGTCATGTTTAATTATAAACAGTCTGGCTTGTTGAATATATTTAATGACTTTTTTAAAAAAATCAAAATTAGCACAGTACGTTGAGTTAACAAACAAGTATTTTCACTAATTTATTTACTTCATCTCAGTCTCTCTGTCTGTCTGTCTCTCTTTTGTGTGTGTGTGTGTGTGTGTGTGTGTGTGTGTGTGTGTATGAAGATGTGTGTGCAGTTGCTGTGGAGGCCAGAAAAGGGTGTGAGATCCCCTGACCTGGAGTGACAGGTGGTTGTGAACCATCCCATGTGGGTGTTGGAAACCAAACTCTGTTCCCCTGAAAGAATAGCAGGTGCTCATTGCAGTGGCATTTTATTTGTATTTTAATAAATAAAGTGATGTGGTATTTCCCTCTGTATGCTGTGAATATCATTGGTTAATAAAGGAACTGCTTTGGGCCTATATCAGAGCTATAGGGGAATAGGGCTGGGGGGAGGGACTAAACTGAATGCTGAGAGAAAGGAGGTGGAGTAAGGAGAAGTCATGTAGCCCTGCTGGAGAAAGACACTGGAACTTTAGCTGGTAAGCCACAGCCATGTGGCGATATACAGATTAATAGAAATGGGTTAAATTAAGATATAAGACTTAGTCAATAAGAAGCTGGAGTTAATGGACCAAGCAGTGATGTAAATAATATAGTTTCTGTGTGATTATTTTGGGGCTGAACATCCGGAAACCAACAAGCGGCCCCTCCTTCAACAAGAAAGCTTTCCTGAAGATCAGAAAAGTAAAACAACCACACTGCCAGTCTTAACAACCAGGCAGCAATGACACACACCTTTAATCCCAGTAGCCACACTAGCTTTCCATAGAGACATGGTAGTAGGGTTCATGCCTTTAGTCCCAGTGATGCATGCCTTTAATTCCAGTGATGCATGCCTTTAATAATCTCAGCCCTAGAGAGGAATATAAGATGGGAGGAGACAACTCGCGGTCTCAGTCTCATTCTGAGGTTTTCTGGAGACAGGATACAATTTTTTGGCTAAGGTCAAGGTAAGAGCCAATGACTGGCTGCTTTGCTTTTCTAGTCTTCAGGTTGAACCCCAATATCTGTCCCTGAGTTCTTATTAATTATGCATCATCTCATAATCACTTAGTCATACCGCAGGACTCACAATTGGTAAAGTGGGATACAGCGGTAAGATATGGTAATTTTACTTTTTTCTTCATCTCTCTTTTGTGCCTGCCAGAAGAAACATCCTTAGTTAGATAATATAACAAATGGATGTGACCCAACTGACTGAAAGTTTCAAGCAAAATTTTCTAAGTCAGCCAGTGCTGGTGCTATGTTAATCTTTAATTTCTGCTGCAAACATTGTTACACTGCCACCGTTATCAGCAATGGCATCAGGAGTAGGCATTCCTGCCGGGAAAAGGCTAGGCTGTACAATTTACTGTAGCTCGCTGCTGTGCAAACTTGTAGGGAGTGATGAAATCAGAATACCATGTGCTTCAATTTACTATGTGTTTTCTCCCTGACTGGAAATACTCAGCAGAGCAGGCCCACAGCTGGGAGCTTATGTGTGCCATGCCATGTTTAATGGAATGAAATCACTGAGGAATGATTTTGTGTTCCCAGATTTATTTTCTTCTTCTTCTTCTTCTTCTTCTTCTTCTTCTTCTTCTTCTTCTTCTTCTTCTTCTTCTTCTTCTTCTTCTTCTTCTTCTTCTTCCTCTTCTCCTCCTCCTCCTTCTTCTACCTCGAGATATTAGTTTATATATTTGATCACGTGTATAAAACACAAAAGTAGCACAAAGCAATACTTAAGTGAACAATTGACACAATGCATTGTGATATAATCATTAACAAACAAGTCCAGTCTATCATGTGTTATTCCATTATATTTAAAGTCTGGTATAACCCACAGAGATTAGTTCAGGAAACTATAACGTGGACCATGACCTATGGTTATAAAATATTGATCTGGAATCTTCTTGATGACAAAGTGTTAACCAAGGTTTTTGTCTCACCTGGTCCCTCTAGGTTTAGCCATGCCCCCCACAGCCATTTAGTCCCAAATAAACACACAGAGGTCTATGTTAATCATAAACTGATTGGCCTAGTATCTCAGGCTCTTCTTATTAACTAATTTTTATAACTTTATATTAGTCAATATTTCTTGTCTATGCTAGCCACATGGCTTAGTACCTTTTTTAGTGAGGCAGTAACATCTTGCTTCTGTGGCTGGGTCATGACTGCGTTCTGAAACTTCCCTCTTCTAAGAATTCTCATTGCCCCACCTCTACTTCCTGCCTAGTTGCTCTGCCTATACTTTCTGCCTGGCTACTAGCCAAACAGCATTTTATTAAACAAGTACAAGACACAAATCTTTACAGGGTAAAACCATTGTCCCACAGCAACAAAGCTAAGCTTCTTCATCAGTCTGTATTGAAATTCCCTTTTTACTGGTGTCTTCTTCTACTCTGAAATCCAATAAAGAAAGATAGGCTGTCTAGACCAGCTAGACCCTTCAAACACCTTTATACTTAATCTGAATTTCAGCTCTTGACCTGGTGTTGGGCATTCCTGGTAATTTCAGAGTTGAAGCATTTGGTGTTGCAGTCATAAAATAAATAAGAGAATTCTCTAGTCTTGTTTCTGTTGCTATAGCAGAATACTACAGACTGAGTAATTTATAGGTTGAAGGAATTTGCCTCTTACTCTTCTGGAAGTTGGCCATACAACAAAAAGCAATAAAAAAAGCAAGTGAACAGGTGAGGCAGAGAAGAAGAAGGAAACTGGTCCAGCTCATTTGTTTTTTACCCAGCCACCCTCTGTGCCTGTTACAACCAACCTACTTCTGAAATAACAGCGTTAATCTATCTACTAAGGTGGCACCTTGGTGACCTAATCACCTCCATTAAGACTTCACCCCCTCAACACTGTTACAAAGAGAATTAAATTTCTAAAGGGACTTGGAAGGAGACATCCAAAGCCCAGGAGAGGGTCTTCACTAGGCTGCGGGAACTCTGGAGGAATACTATTATCACACTCACACATTTCTGTGTGGGTTCCCAGGACAAACTGGATAGATAAAAACAAAAACAATACCAAATCACACAGACTTGCTACAGACTTTTCATTTTCGCCCTTCCTTCCAGTCATTGTTTTTCCTGTCTAAGCATAGTCTGGCTTTAAGCCCAGGATCAGAGTCAATCTTGGATCTGAGTGTAACTCCCCTTATGAGCCTGTAACTTCACTTTTGAAACAGTGTGTTTCCTTCTCTTCACATGGGCCAGTACCCTGAAAATTATTCAAGATGACATTATGAGAATCCCAGGCCCTGCCTTGATGAAGAATTGCTATCTAGTAAGCAATATTCTCTTTCCTTCTCTTTGGTGTTTTACCACAGTGCCTATACTTAGTCTATAGCGGCCACAATCCCTGTGTCAACAAGACCCCACTAAGCAACCCAGGAAAGCAAAAGCCTTTTCTTCAGAAAGACCAAACTTAAGGTTGGTGCTACAGCCAGCAAAGGAAAAATGAGCACAATAAATAGAAATGCATTTCACACAAAATCAAATGGAAAAGCCCACAGACTGCAAAATATTTCTTACCTTTGTGATTTCCTGAAGATGGAGAGTACATCTGGTAAGAGAAGCTGCCTTAACTCTTTCTTTTCTTTAGTGAAAAAGCAAAGGATAACCAGACTTCATAGCTGTATCTGTTTATCTCTTCACCGGGCCAGACAGACAAGAGACTGGTAGTAGCCCTGCTGAGTTTTGTATGGGTAGCTGCAAAACTCAGAGGCAAAGGAGTTGTGGAGCAACAACAGAGTCAGTGCTACCTATAGAGGTATTTTATTTAAATTTTATAAATAAAGCTTGCCTGAAGACCAGAAGGCAAAACTAAGTGAGTAGAGACCAGGCAGAAATGTCACACACCTTTAATTCCAGGATTTGGGAGACAGAGGCAGATGGATCTCTGTGAGTTCAAAGCCACCCTGGGCTACACAAAATTAATGCAGAAACAGATCCAGGTGGTGATGGCTCATACCTTTAATTCCAGTACTAGAGATCCGCGTGCCTTTAATCCCAGCACTAGAGAGGAATATAAAGCAGGATGAGGCAGGAACTTGTTCTTTCAGTTTCAAGATTTCTTAGAGGTAAGAACTCTCTAGTGACCAGGCTGCTTTGCTTTTCTGATCTCCAGACTGAACCCTAATATCTGTCTCTGGGTTTTTATTATTCGTGCTACAGCTGCCAAGGTGCAGTTACCCACTACCCGATTGGATTCCTCTTCTATTACGTAATTGGAAATACCACATCCCAATCCCGGCAGATTTGTCTTTACATCTGTTGCAATTGTTTGTTTAATTTGCCATCTGTTCCTCTAGAAGAGCAAACACCGAGTGTCCTGGTGCAGCTTTCATCTAAGAAAGAACTGTGCCACAGTAGATGTTAAAAAACAAAACAAACACAAACCCACATTTTTAAATGTTAGTTGTAGTCTGGAAAAGGGTGCGGTTAATATGAAGTATTTGAGGAAGGAGGTTGTTCTGCTAAGAATTAACTCCTGGGACTAATATCACTAATTATCTTCTGGAAGGAAGATCTGGGCACATGGGTAAGTACAGGGGAGGCTTTCTCCTCTAGTGTGCAGAACTCAGGACTCATTGGTTCTGGGTCCAGGACACCAAAATTCCAAGAACAAATTTCACAGAAAAAGGTCAGGTTTTAGGATGTTTTATTACTATAGAAAGGAAAGTTAGGAAGAAAGAGTAAACATTTACATCAAAAAAACAGTTCTCCTGAGAGCAGGGACTACCCTTTATGGGGCTCCAGGAAAGCAGAGAAGCCTGTTGAGCTGGTCATCTAGGATCTTTTCAAAGGACTTATGGCAGAAACAAACAAAGACTGGGGTAATTTCTATTGAAATTGGTTAGCTCTCTGGGCTATCATGAGCATAGCCACGTCCAATGGAGGGTCCACACTTGTGAATTTTAGTGGGGCTTGTCAGAGTGTATACTTTAATATGGAATGTATACTAAAAGTTCCCATGTATAATGGAACTTAACTGACTGAGCACATTTTGTTCTTTAAGATTTATTTTTAATTATGCATATGTACACATGAATGCAGGTACCTGCTGAGGCTCGTAGCCGTAGTAGACGCCTCTGGCACTGGAGTTACAGGTGGCTATGAGCTGCCTGATTTGAGTGTTGGTGACTAGACTTGGCTCCTTTGCAAGAGCAGTACATGCTCTTAGATGCTGAGCCATTCCTCCTGCCCCTATGAGCCTCTATTATTTTAGAAATGACTTCACCGAGTTAGTTGTTATGTGGTTTGCGACTTGTTCATATAGAGTGGCATTCCACATATAACAAAACAAGGAAGAACTCTCTTATCACAGTGTGTTTCACAACATTGTTACTCTTAGAAAATTTGGAAACAGGTTTAATGATTGGTGGAGGACTCTTTTGTGCAGATGGCTACCACTTCCTTGCAGAGTCCTCTGGGAAAAGAGCGGGTGGGTACCAAGACTCAGCCTAGACAGAGCTCTGCACTCCAATATGGGCTTTAATCCTATTGTGAGTACCCCACCTTCATGACCCCATCTATATCTGACTAGCTTCCAAAGTTCCACCCCCAACACCATCACATTGGCATTTAAGGCTTTGTCATGGGGGAGGGGGAACAAACACCAGTCCATTGCCAACAGAGCCACAAAACACTACTTCTGCTTCATTTATTCAGCAACTATTTGCAGAATGCTCCCTAAGTACCAGTGTTCTATAGTCGCGGACACATTTCATCTCGGTAGCAACTTTGTGAGGTAAATACTACTATTCGCTCTCTTTGACAGATGAAAAACACAAGCAAACAGAGGTTTGATAAATTCCCAGCGAGCATTCAATGGGTATGTGTTGTAGCTGGACAGTTAGCCCTGAAAACTCTCTGCAGGTGTCTCCCTAACTCAGCACCGGGAGAGCATCCAGGCAAAGGGCTCATCCTCCCAGTGATGTGCTCACCTGGGACCTCCAGTCAAATGCCAACAACAGCAACAGAAGGAACAGGAAACTGACATGGAGATTGCAGTTAAACAGGCTGTGGAACGGTTTAAATAAAGAGCTACAAACATGTCAATAATTCTCTCTCAAGTCTCGTGTGGCGCCCCCTGAATCTGAGAGGCCCTGGGATGGTAGGAGCATGAGGTTTGGGAGGTCGATAGGTAGTTCAGCCTAGGCTACATCAGACAACAACAACAACAGCAATAATGATAGTCATAAAACTTTCAGAGACTCGATTTTGTAATACAGATATATTTTGGAAAAACCATAGTTCTTTGCACTTAAACCAGTGCCTTGTGGAATCTGTGTCCCTCACAGCTTTCCTGTGGACTTTCCTTAGTCAAAAAAAAAGTTATGACCCATCACACAACAGGACAGTGATGGTTCAGGAACTATTAGGGTTTGGGAAGTTCCAGAGTTCAAAAGACAAAGAGGAGATTGATATATTGTTCTAAAATAAACACAGAGCCTTGGCAATGATCTTTCTCCTCCTCCTCCCATGTTTCTCTGAGGAAAAACTCAGGCCAAATGTGACTTATTTAATATCATAAAAGTAGCAAGAAAAAACAAACGTCCTCACACAGAATAAGAGACCATAGGTATATTTTTAAAGCGTGTGTTCATCTCAGACATGAACGCAGTCTGCAAAACTCAAAAGACAGGGAAAGTTGCCATCCACCCAAACCGCTCTAGTCCTGACTGGAGTCCCAAGCAAAGCAGCCCTCACGTGCTCATTACGGGTGTGACCCACCACTCCCTGGGAGCTGAGACCCTGGATTCCCACCGCTCCCCGTGAGCCCGTCACTTCTCCAGCGAAGCACGTCACTCCCTCCCCTTTGGGACAAAAAAGCAAAAATCCCAGAGTCCAATCCTTGGGAGTGGAGCAAGGGGCGGAGCGACGTCCTTTCCGGTTGTGGGGAAACACCCTGGAGCTCCGGGAATTTCCCTGGCCCGGGACGCGGTCTTTTCCAGGCACCATGCATAAAAGGGGCTCGCGGAGCCCCAGAACCCCAGACTAAGCTTCAGAGCCTCCAGCCAGCTACCGCACTCCAGACTCCAGCTACACTCCTGCTCAGCGCCATGGCCCCAGCCACCCGTCCACTGCTCCGCGCCTCTCTGCTGTTGCTGCTACTGCTACTGGCCACCAGGCACCAGGTCACAGGTAGGACCCGCCACTGCTGTCGCTGGAGGAGCCTCCCTCCGCTGGGCTCAGCCGCCGCCAACAGTTTCGCTGACACGGTGTCTTCTCCCACAGGGGCACCCGTCGCCAACGAGCTGCGCTGTCAGTGCCTGCAGACGGTGGTGGGAGTTCACCTAAAGAACATCCAGAGCTTGAAAGTGACGCCCCCAGGACCCCACTGCACCCAGACCGAAGTCATGTGAGTGTCTATCAGCGCAGCTTCTGCCACTTCCAGAATCACCCAAACCCTCCTGCTGCCCCCATATCCATAAACTTCCAGCCTCACGTGGGTCCATCCTTCTCTCTACAGAGCCACTCTCAAGGATGGTCGCGAAGTGTGCCTTAACCCTGAAGCCCCCATGGTTCAGAAGATCGTCCAAAAGATGCTCAAAACGTGAGTTGTGACTTGTGTTTGGACTTGTGAGGGAGGCATGGGTCCGAGTACTGGCATCTTGCTGCCGAGCACTAATTACATCAGGGAAAGTCTGTGTTGACCAGAAGATCAGAAAGTTATGGTCATTACTTTCATAGATAAGCTTAACTTGAGATCATTAATTGGCTTTGACACCAGAGAACCCTGTCCGCCTGACTGTCACCACACTCAAAAGCCCCACGCAAACGGATGGTGGCTTGTGTGTGTTCCTAAAAGATGAAGGGGCCCCTGGCTCCATGAAGTCCTTTGAGGGCCTGGAAAACGGGATCCTTGGCAAAGTGTGCTCCCGAGCCTTCTTGAGGAAGAAGGGAGCTTTTGGCAGTGTTAACTTCTCTGCGTGCAAGGCTAAATTATGTGTGCAGGTTACATAATTTATGGAATTTTAGCCAAGTAGGAGAGCTAATAGCAGCTACAGCACAGGGTTGCGGTAGGAGTAAAGTCACACGTGTAAATTAACCTGTGGCTACGTAGTTTGGCTTTTTTTTTTCAAGTCACGTGGTTGACTCCATAAGAATCCAAGTTTTAGCTGTACAGAGCTCTGGGGGCAGGGGGAGACATGTAGAAATCTCGCCTGGAGTCTCGGGACTGGGGTAAGAGAAGAGTGCTTTTGATGACTGTAACATTGACTCTTTTCCCACTGCAGGGGCACCCGCAATTGACAGAGAAAGGAGGAAGATTGCCGTGGTGGCGCCAGTGAGCACCGGCTTCTGACAGCCCTGGCTTAGCACATTCTATGGTTTCTTAAGCGAGTCCTATTTATTTATGTATTTATTTATTTCACAAAGCTCATGTATTTTTATTTGACATTAATATTTAACGATGTGGATGTGTTTTATCAATGGTTGTTCACTTTGAAGATGGTAGACTTATAAACTATCTTATTAAGGCCGGGTGGTGGTGGTGGTGCAGGCCTTTAATCCCAGCACCTGGGAGGTAGAGACAGGTGGATGTCTGTGAGTTTGAGGCCAGCCAGGTCTACAAGCGCTAGTTCCAGGAAAGGCACCAAAGCTACACAGAGAAACCTTGTCTCGAAAAACCAAAAAAGAAAAATCATATTAAACTAATATTTAATATTTATTGGGAGACCATCAAGAGTCAACCACCGTGATAGAAGGATGGGGGTCAAGAAAAAAAGCAGAGAGAAGAGAGCATATGACCATGTTTTGTATTAGGGTGAGGGTATGTGTGTGGACCTATGTTTGAATGTCTTGAAAAGAATGTCAGTTATTTATTGAAAGTCATCTTTCATATTAATAGTCAACATGGATGTGTTGATGTTTCCCTTGGACATTTTGTGTCTAGTCTGTAGGGCATAATGCCCTGTTATATTCTGTAACCAGTGTTTCTCTTTGTCTTGGGACAGAGAGGTTCAAAGAACTGTTACAAATGAAATAAAAATAAAAGTTTTAACAAAAAAATAACATGTGTGCTTTTTGTTTTGTTCTTTTTAACATCTCTGGTTTATATTTAATCCTGCATGTGTCTGTGTTGGCTGGCATTTCTCGGGACTCTTGCCCACTAGTGAGGAAGAATTGATACTCCTG